CAGAACAGATTAACCTGCCTCCCCCCGGGCAGGATTTCCCAGATTTCTGCAGGCTTTTTTCCTTTCTACTGTATATAAATGCTTAACAATAATTTCATTTAATTTAGCAAGGCTAAAAACCAGCAACACTTACACTTCTGAAAGGCTAGAGTCAAGAACAGCTACTGAGCAATCTTCACTGATTGATGCCAGAAGAGGGGAACTGCAGAGTAAAAAAAAAAGACTCCAGTTAAGGCTGCCTTATACCTGAAAGCTTGGAAGTAAGCATTACAAAATGCATGCGTTTTAATAAAGCAAACAACGGCTGCAATGCAACACATTAAAGTAGGATATTTTCATCACCACTACCAGAGAATACTGTTGATTCACAGAAGTGAGGAAGGAAAACAGGGACAAGAGAATCCAAAGGAGTCCATGTATCACCATCAGCCACAACACCTCCCAGTACAGAACACAGCAATAGCCCTTCTACGGTGCTGTGCTGCATGAACAACCCTCCCAAGTAGCTCTCACGCCAGAATTTAAAAACTGGATGAACACTTTTAAGGTGAAACGCATGTTCATGGCACTGGGAACACTATGTTTTGTGAAAAATAAAGTGTGTTTAATAGCATTGTGAATGGAGAAGAAAAACTTGGCTTTAACTGGCTACTCTGAATGTCCTTCTTTGTTCCATCAGAGACCATTAAACCTCTACAAGAGATTGGGACCAAGGGTACTCTGAGAAGCAACAGACTCCATCTACCAGCGTTTAAATGACCTTATGCATTTTACATTTTTTGTATCATCACAAAAATTACCTGTGTGTAGAAAATGCAAACCCAGTAACAGTTTGGGAGTGCACAGCAGAGCTGAGAGCAGAATCTGGGTTCTTTGTGTCTACCAGAGCAACTGTCCCGTTTTCATCACCTTTGAAAGAGTGTGGGAGAACAGCCATCAGAAAAGAAACAGAGTGCCAAAAACAAAGCCTGTGATTGGGAAGTAGTCTACAGGGCAGGAACGTTAACAGTAACACTGTTTCTTACCCAAAACAAAGGTGTCATTTTGCTGTGGATGCCACATGACTGAGGTAGGTAGATAAGTAGAGGCACTGCAAACTGTAAGCAAGGAAAATGGGGTGAGTGAGAAGAGAATGGTGAGCTCAGAGCTATCCCAACACTACTGAAGTTCTCTCACTTGCTGACTGGCTAAGATTAATTATTTAAAATGAGCGCACCAACCCAACTGTCTAACGTAAGTGCTATGTGATACATCAACAAAATATTAATGTCACGTAACAGATTTATCCGCCCCGACTCCCTACCCACTTGAAGACCTGCAGAAAAGGTTAAGTACCACACAAGCATAGAGACATACCAATTCGAGTAGCTGGCTTGGGGCATCTGGTATCCCAGAGTAAAATCCTGTTATCCTAGAAAAGCAAAATTAGTGAAAAAGAAAATGTTTTATGAATTTGGCAACCTCAGATGTCAATGATTAAAGCTCAACCCTGGGACTTCAGAGCTCTAGTCAGTGCTTTGCCACTGACTCTCCAAGGGCTCAGGTAAAACACAAACTCTGAGCCTTCATTCCTTTTCTGTGAAGCGGCAAGAGAAATTCCCATCTACCTCATGCACACATAAAAACTCTCAAAAAATGTGGAATCCACCAAATAGCAGCTTCCACAGTTTGAGAAGTGTAAGAACTAGAGTTTATTTTTGTAAACAGCGTGTCCACTGGGGATCAAAAAGACCTTTAAAAACATCCACAAATCATGTCTTAAAGCTCAGAAAGGTGCAACAGAAAGAGCCGTCATATCTCCATTTGACACCTCTAAAAATGGAGGTGAAATGACTTAATATTACCCAGGTGGGAAGCCAGTGCCGTAACTGCAAACAGAACAGTTTGCATTAATCACAAGGATATTTTTTTCCTTCCCAATTCACGTCATGGAATTCCCTCCACCGTAGACATATCAAGACACCATATCTCAGTGCACACGCTGTACTGCAACAAGGTACAAAAATCCTGCGGTTGGCTACTTTTCAAAAATGTACCTGACTTTTTTAACTGTCGAATACATGTTCAAAGTAGTTTATACCAGCTAGACTCAGACACCAAATAAGGCTTACCTCAGCACAGGACAGGAACACAGTATCCTTACCAGGACAGGAAGCCACACATGTCACTGAACTAGAATGAGCTATTTAAAGGAAGAATGTGAAAGGTAAAGAGGTTGAAAAGCTGGCAACATGGATCAAACCTGGATACAGTACTCAGTCAAGGGCTTACAGAGGCAAGACATCCAAAGTAAGTAACTCTGGGCCATAAACCAGTGTTGTCTCCAGTGAGACCTCACATCTGAAGTGCAGTGCAATTTATCATGTGAGGAACAACTTCACTTGAACCTAAAACCCAAAGCAGCACCCCCCACCCGGCAGAGCGGAAGCAAAATGAACATATCAGCTTGACACTTACCTCTGTAGGAGTGTAGTGATGTTTGCTGTGGGATGTCCCACACCTTCACGCTATGAATCAAATACAGCAGGTTAGAAAGAGCAACAGCAGATTCACTTAAAATACCAGATGAGAAACAAGAGTACAAATGACACTCACCAGAAGTCTTTGCTGCCACTAACAGCCTGAGTGCCATTATCCAGAATGCTCAATGTTGTCACAATGTCGTCATGCTCATATTTAGAGAATTTGTTCACGATGAGCGTTTCATTCTCATCTAGCTCCCAGAGTTCCACAGCGCCTGCAGGAAGAGAGAAAATTTGCCCATTTTATTAACAGGGATTAGTCGATACCTAGCACACACAAAAAGAACCAAAAAACAGGCAGAGATGTTGTCTGATGAGGAGCCCCATTTGCTCTGAAGGTCCCAGCACCCAACCAGATGCAACCCAAGCAGAAATCACCTCCATCCCAGAAATGAGTAACAATTCAACGCAACAAAACAACCCATCCTAATTGTATTAGTAACAACATCTTGCCTGGTCCCAACAATATGGTACTGCTAATACAGGTAGTCCTCGGACTTCTGACACAATTGGTTCCTGAAAACCGTGTCTTAAGTTGAAACGTTGTAACTCGGAACCAATTTTCTCAAAAGAAACAATGTTTTAAATGGGGGATTGGTTCCTGAACCAAGGCCTGATACCCTATTTTCACCAAAAATACCCCAGAATTTTGTACTCAATCAATTATAGAAGAGTAATACAGGTACATGAATGTATTTATATTGTAAATAGCAATCATATTGATTTGGAAGGACTTCTTTGAGGTGACTATGCTGGACTTTTTGAAGGGTTCTTGGCTGGAGTCTTCTCAGGAGTCTTGGCTGCAGGTTCTTCTGGAGATGGACACTTTCTTTAAGAAAGCAGACACAAGGAAGTTTGGACAGATGTTCTCCAGAGAAACGGGTGACACAACGAACCTATTCGCTGCTGTGGCACTGGATCAGATCAAGCGTTGTAAAGTCCAAACTGATGTCAGAAAGTTGAAACAGGGTGTCACTTTATAAAAGCTGTAAGCGTGAAACACTGTAACTCAAAAGCTTGTAAGTTGAGGACTGCCTGTACATGCAACCGAACCGTTAACGACTGCAACAGCTTAGTGAAGGACATCAATGCAAACTCTCAATCGGCTACTCCAAATTATCCCTCTACTAAGATAACGTGACCTTTCCCGTCTTACCAATGGGAAAGATGCCCCAGAACTCACTTGGGAGCTCTTGGACATATAACCCGGCATCTGGAGCACTAAGCCTACACCCAAGGCTTTGTCTGCAAGCGACCAGGAACCACAAACACCCAGCCCAGGGCTATGCACGAACAATTAAGGATTGTCAGCCTCTACAAAGCTTCTCTGTGACATCTTCTTGTGACATTTTGAACGCCTGCACGTTCTCACACATCTACTGGTGACGTTATTCCCTCCAGGCTGTCGGCTCCCCTGCGGCGGCTGTCAAGACACAGCGCCTTGCACTCCCAATGAGGTCGACGTGCCACCCTAGAGCGCTGCCAAAAGCTTCGCTTACCCGAATCGGAGGCCACCAGAATGCCTTTATCGGCCACCCACTGGAGATCGGCGATGCCCGCTTCCGTCTGGACTCCGGCGGAGCAAAACCCTTCATTCGGGGCCCTCGCTGGGTCCTTGAACACCCAAATGGAGCCCACCCAGCAGCGCGCGTTCAAGCTGGAGGCGCCGAGGAGAAGGGTGCCGTCTGCAACAGAGAAGCGTGGAAGTGGCAACGCCTCGGCCCCATCGTGAGGGCGCCTCAGCCCCCCACCCCGCCCTTCCCCCTGCCAGCCCGCGCGACCACACCCCCCCACCTGCGCGGTAGTGCGCGCCCTCCAGGTGTCGCTCCATGCAGGCTGGCGCATTGGGCGGGATGCTCCACTCGGGCGCGGGCGGGCCGCGGCCGCCTCCTCCCGCGCCCGCTGGCGCCTGGTCCTGCATCGCTGCGGCGGCAAGACGCGGCGCGGCTCCACGTGCAGCACGAACCAAAGACCCCGCCCCCTCCAGGCCCTCGACCCGCCCCCTGCTTTCGCGAGACTGCCGCGAGGTCTCTTCTCGCGAGACTTTTAGAGAAGGACACAGTATTTTTCGGTTACTTCCCGCGATACCGCCCTCCTTTTCCCCTCCCCCAAACTTTTTAGCTATGTTTCCTCTCGCGAGAATCTTGCAAACGGACCTTCTTATGCCTCTCGCGAGACTGCTCTCCCCCTGCTTCTCGTTCGCCTCCTCTCGCGAGACTCTCTGCTTTCCCCATGCCTTTCGCGAAACTGTTTTCTTCTCGTGTCAATCTTGCTTCCTCTCGCGAGACTCGTTCAGGAGGCGGGGGAGAAATGAGAGAGCCCCCTCCCCCCCCCCACACACGCACATCTCGCGAGACTCTCCTCCCCGCGCGCTGATAGGGACGGTCCTTAGCAGTCATCTCGCGTGAGCAAGTGGGTGAAAGTGTCTCGCGAGACAGCGCAGCTGACGGGCGCTGCCATCTTGTTGCCGGGGGTCGCGGGGACGCGGGGAAGATGCTGTCCCGCCTGGCCCTGCGCGCCGGTGAGCCCGGGGGGGTTGCCCTGCTCCGCCCCCTTCCCCGAGGTGGGTGTGTGTGGCCGTCCGCCTCGCTGAGACACTCTGCTCTTCTCTTTGCAGCTCCCGGGGTGCTGAGAAACCTGTCTCCGTCCTTGTCGGCCGGGTAAGGGGCGGGGCGGCAGTGACCGGGGTGGGGGACTGGCCTAACGGCAGCCCCCTGCTTGTCCCGTCCCTAGATGGGGTTCTCTGACGGTCCTTCTCGGTTCCTTACAGTGCGTTGCACGCCGCGAGGAGCTTCCATGGCGGCCAGCCGTGCCTGGCCCCCCTGCCTCCGCTTCCGGAGAGAGGAGGCGCCGTGCGCCATGGATTGATCCCCGAGGAGTTTTTCCAGTTCCTCTACCCGAAAACGGGAGTTACCGGTAATGCTGCTGTACAGCGTGGGTGCGGGGCCGGCTTTCAGCACTGAAAAGATGAGGCCTTTGGTCTATTGTGTGAGTTACGGGCTTTGTCCTGCGTGGTAGGCTTTCTGAGATGGTGAGAGCCCCTAAATACCCTTGTGCTGCCTGGGCCTGGGATTTGTTAGAAGACTTCATTAAGTTTCATTAAGCCACCACATTTCCTGACTCCCTGCGAGCCACAAGTTGAGCCCCCTGCTGTAGAGTCTAGGTTGTTTTGACCTGGCAAATCACACAGTGTTCTTGTGTAATAGTAATATGATAAAAAGAAACCCCAAAAAGTCGTCATTGTTATTGTCGTCGTCATTATTATTATTGTTTAACTAAAACGGGCTTGTTTTTTTTTGTCTCCTTTCTAGGACCGTACATGTTGGGGACTGGGCTGACTTTGTACCTGGTCTCCAAGGAGATCTATGTCTTTAACAATGAAACAATCTCTGCTATGGTCTTTTTGTCGCTTGTAGTCTATGCAGTGAAACGATTTGGGCCTAGTGTAGCAGCTTTTGTTGAAAAAATCAATGAGGTAATTCCAGAGGAGAGTATATAATTTCACCTTATGCTGACACTTGGTGCAAAATATTTCCAGAACTAATGGCCGCCGTCCTTGGCTGTGAAAAAGCTACCCAGAGTAATCTTGTTTTTAAATACTTGCAGTTCCTTTTAAATACTGTTGACCTTTGTTTCTAATGTTGGTGGCTTTTTGCCCTGAAAATGTATGTGGCACTTTATGACCGGGTCAGTTGTGCTAGCTGCATTTTACTAGAAGAATTATTTAATCTAACAGCATTAACAAGTTTCCTGTAAAGTTTCCCTGGTGACTTGACAACTTCAGACTACTTAAATTTCAACTGCTATCTTTGAGCCTTGGAGGGGTTGAGGGTGGGGAGAGAGAGAGAACTCCTGTCAGAACCATAATTCCAGACTTTGGTGGATAACAGAAATTAGCTGAAGTCTTATGCGTGTTTACCAGGTATCGTTTTGTAATGTGCATATTTCACTGCTATACAATTTAGAATTGTACTATTGACGTTTTTACATGTGGTAGATATTGTGGAGAGATCCATGTATGTAAGCTTTGGCTCGCAAGTCAATAGATAAACCTTCTTGAAGCAGGACTTAATGTGTTTTCAAAAGTGACTTATATCCTTGGTGCTTAAGTCTCATAAACATTTCCCATCGACTTGCAAACTTACACATTTCAGATGATTAGTTGCATTGGGAAAACTACTGGGAACCTTGATAACCACTGGAGCTACTTGGTTTCCCAGGCTGTTTAATATCATTCCCTGGCACTAGTCAATAGGGAATATTTTCTGCTTAATGCATGCTTATTGCTTACCTAAACGTAATGTAAATGCATACAACTGTCCCCCCCCCGAGTCTTAGCATGGGCACAGTTCCTGTGGGAGCAAGTTTAAGTTGGTACAGCTGCATCTGCGTTAGGTTTTGTAGCAGAATAGCTGCACATGTGAAAAAAGAACTGTATCTGTGACTGCCATAGTTGGGCCTGGTTTCTCTAACAAGCTTAAACCGGCTTAAGTTGTGAAGCCAGTTTTTGTTCTTCTATTTGGGCTTCCTTTAAAACCTGACATGGGTCATTTATTGAAACAGCTCTGAAATATTAAGAACACTTTGTTATGAAAAGTCAGGGTTATGATTGAAATTTCCCCCTCATACACTTAACCTCTTAAAATACTTTCTTATTTCTACTTGCAGGAGAAACTTGCTCAAGTATCAACTATAAAAAATGATTCAATGAAAGCTTTGGAAACAGCAATTGAACAAGAAAAGAAAGAGCAACAGAGGATTGCAGGCCGCAGTTACATCTTTGATGCCAAGCGGGTGGGTTGCCTAAAATTTTATCTTTCTCCATATTCGTGGCCTTTATGACAGGAGCACGGAGTGTTTCAAACAGAAAATGAGCAGCAAACCATTGTAATATATATGTTATAGGCAGGGCTAATACTAGAGTTTGTCACATCAGTAATTCAGCTGAAATTGCTTTATCAAATCCAAAGACTATGACAAGTTCTTCTGGACATCACATGCTCAGTCACTGTCATATCAGCCTTTTTGCTATTGTTTATTGGGTTTTTTTCTACAGTGGTATAGCTGTAGTAGCTTCTTTCCTTTTGTTTAAAGCTGACCTTTTAATTTATTTTGCTTTTCTTTTTTTAACTAGAATAACATTGCCATGCTGCTGGAGATTAACTACCGAGAGAGATTGCTCATGGTGTACAATGAAGTGAAGAAGCGGTTAGACTATCAAGTTGCTATGCAACATCTGAAGCGTCGTAAAGAACAAGATCACATGATCAGCTGGGTAGAGAGAAATGTTGTTCAGAGCATCACGCCTCAACAGGTATTTAGAAGAAAGTTATAGGTTCTGGTTGTTGGCTCTGCTTCCTGATGCACAGTACAGGTTCCCAACTGCTTGATATCGTTGGCCAAAAATAAATCTGGATCTCTTTGTGCTGGTCTTTCTGGGGCAGTCATCAGGAGGCCAGAACAGTTAATTTCTTGTCTTCTGAATTGTCCATTGCTTGCCAGCACTTGAACTTGGATGGTTGCTGCTGTTTATATTGTCCTGATTTTGTAATGTGAACTGTGAATCAAAGCCATCTTAGTTGGACGCTGATTTTGTGTGTTTGGGCAAAATGTGATTATGGCTGGGATGCGTATGTTGCCCCTTGAAACGTGTTTCTTAAGATTCTGTTTCAAGGCTTCTGAAAGCTGTTTCTTCTTGTCTTGCAGCACAAGGAAAGCATTGCCAAGTGCATCTTGGACCTGAAGGCATTGTCGAAGGCTGCACAAGCAGCAGTATAACTGCAGTGATTCCAGACACGTCTGTGGTTTCTCTGACTTGCTGTTGGAAGCTATAATTCTGATTCTTAATTAAAATTTAACTTCTATCAGTGTGACTAGTGACATGGTGATTGCTGTCAACTTAGTGTGGTCTGTTTGTGCCGATTACATTTTGACTTATACATTCATTCATACCAGGGATTCTGCAGAATTCTCAATATCTAACTTGCTGTATTAAAGCCAGATCCCACTTCATATTGTTTAGGTATCGACTCCCCATGTGTGACCAATCCTATTTTATCTCTTTGTTTTGTTGTGTTTTGTTTTTCCTTCAGAGTCAAAATTTTACTCTTCCATCCAACGTGCTGAATTGTAAAGCACTTTGCTCATCAATGGCTGTTACTGTCAAAGTGTTCGCAGTTGTGGATCTTAAATAAACAGAAGCGAATAGCAGAAATCGGGCCCTGGGTGAGGGAGGAGGGTTTATTGCAGTATTCGGACGGCATTGGAGAATAGCGTCTTCATCTCTAGAGAAACAGCTCCATTACTCGCTCAGATTTGTTGCTTCATAAGGAAACATTCTCATGGGACTGTGGCCCAATTTCCTATTTCGAGTGTTCCTGCTTGCAACGCTGATGTAATTAAATGCGGTTGCTTCAATATACGTGGACACTGTTCGTCCTTGGAAAGCAGCAAACTTTAAGTCCCACTTCAAAGTTTTATAAGTGTAGGGCCAGATAGTAGGAAGTGGGGAGCAAAAACTGTAATCCTACCCATTTTTAGGAAAGGTCCCTATAATCTGCTGGAACTATTCCGTTTAAAAAAATAATTAAGTATAAAATGAATTACTCTTTTATACAGAATAGTCTTAATCTTATTTACTTTGTAGCAAGTACTGATATGATCATTGATATTGCATTGTTTTCATACTCTTTGTTCTACTCTCTTCCTGAAAGAGTAGATGTGCTTCCTATTTAAATGTTGCCAGAAGAGTAAAAGAGGTTTCCTCCAGTACATGCAACCTTTGACTTACTATAGTATTGTCTGACTTAAAAATCAGCTGCTGTCCTTGCTTCCATATCCGTTGCTGTCAAATGTTCTCTTCGGTGGTGGTATGAGCACAGTATCCTAGGATCACAACTTGTAGCTCATCAGTGAAATGTTCAGAGTAAGTACAGTTGAAGAGGGTGGCTTGGGGTAGAGGTCTGTATCAAAGAGGATATGATCTCAACTGTCTGCTTTGTATGGCAGCAGACTATTGCAGGGGTGACTTGGTGGCAGCCTATAAGTACATAAAGGATGTGCATCAGGATCTGGGGGAATGCCTGTTTACCAGAGCACCCCAAGGGATGACGTGGTTTAATGGTCACAAACTCCTGCAAGATCATTTTAGGCTGGACATAAGAAAAAACTTCTTTACTGTCTGAGCCCCCAGGGCCTGGAACAAACCCCCCAGAGGTGGTGCAAGCACCTCCTCTGGACACCTGTGAGAACTTTTTGGATGTTTATCTCTCTGGGATCCTCTGACCCCTGCTGACTTCCTGCCCCTTGGGCCGGGGGGCTGGACCCGATGATCTTACAAGGTCCCTTCCAGTCTTAATGTCTATGAAAGTAAAGGACAAAGGGGAAAATAGTGACTAATCTCATAAGAAACCTTTTCAGTCCAAAGCAGGTGCAACTGTTTCCTGCAACCTCTGTTTTTGGGGTGGTTTTTTTTGTTTGTTTCCCCCTTCGCTACCCTGCTAGCTTATAGTTCCTGTATCTACAGATTGAGTTGAACCGGAAGTATGAGAACATAACTTTATGTAACAACTATTTTGCAAATGAGTTCGCTACAATCATCCCATCCACTGTAGCCACTGTAACAGTTGTACTACCCTTGTAGACGTCCAGTTTCATAGAGGAAAAAACTGTCTCCAGCCTAAACTAGACTTTTTTCTTGATCAAAAACTCTAACCTAATTTACTTAATACAGAAATTATTTTCTTGGGATACAATGAGCCCACAATCGGGCTGAGATCCCAAACCTAGCAGAAAAATTTAAATTTTAAATTACCACTGAATGCTAAAAAGTCTAGATGGCTACATTTACCTTGCTTGCTTTTCAGCCTATTGGATTATGGGATGCAGACATTAGGCAAGTGCCTTCCACATCCTGGAATTGGGAAAAGGATTTGTGGAGGGGACAGCAATTCTACTGAAACTTACTTAAAGGGCCTTCTCCTTCCTCAAACTTTTTTTTTCAGACTTAGTGCGTTTCTGTCCATGTTTACAAATCACAGTTGAGCAATGCACTTAATGCAAATGGCTATCAGAAGTATCTTGTTGAATAAGTTCCTTTCCATGTAAGCAATGAGACTTTGAGATGTTTCATGCTTTCTGGCATAGGTTTGTTTTTGATACACCTGCGTTGGTCACAACTTTTAATTTTTAGAAACTTATGACCTGCTTTATTTTTTTGCACACTGAATTTAAAATATGGATTTATGGGGCTTGAAAAACCAGAACATTCTCCAGGTCTCAAAAAAAAAAAAAAAATCTGAACTCAACCTTGCAAAGAGAAACCTGGGCAGCTGCCTTACTTGAAAATATGATTGTGTTTAATTTTGGAAGTTCCTAAAAGTGTGTTCTTATTTTGTAATCAACCTTCCTGTATCTTAATTTTTGCAATTGCACAACTTCCCTGTCTTCAGCACTATGTTCTCTCTCATCCAAAAGCTGACTGCTGTTTTAACAACTGAATGACTGCTGTTGTAGATGTTGTAAAGTGTCTGTAATTACAGACTGATTTGCTTTAGAACAAGGAATACAAACTGTGTGTGTAGCTGTTAAAACAGTGGAGCATTTTCCTACTCGGGTGGGCAACAATTTTAGGGTACAAGGTAAGATGTTGCTATTTCATTTCTCAATTACCAGGGAAAATTTGGGGTGTTTTTGTTTGTTTGCCTTTTTTAAAGGAATAGCCAGTGACTATATTTATAGTGATTGTAGAGGAAAATGAGATGCACTGTTAGTGTAGCTTAATAAGGCTAGGAGCTTACTGAGATCTAGTGAGCTGTGCTTATTAATTACAAGAATTGCCTGCATTTTAAGCTTTTTTTGCACCTCATTAAGGCTGTGAAATGAGCATTTCATTTATATCAAATGTCGACAGAAAATGTTTTTTAAATAAAAAATCAGTTTTGTAAAAATAACTTTCTGATGGAAAAAGTGTTTCAAGGAACACTTTCTGACCTGCTCTAGTTGTCATGGCTGCTACAGAAATGTATGTGCAAAATTTTCAGACAGAAGAGTAGTTTTTAAGTCAGTATTTCCCCTTTTAATAGTGAAACAACTACTAAGGTTTATTTTATTCATTGCCTGTGCTTGGGTGCTATGTAAACTCTGGTAGTTAGAGCAGGGAAGTAGGATGGTTCTCTTCCTGGCAGCTGCTGACCTACAGCCTTTACTGCTCATATATTTACTGTCTGATATGCCTCTCACACAGCAATATGGTTAGTAACACTTTCTTAGGTCACAGATGTGCCATGAGATTCAACCCACTTCTGACTTTTTGAGCTACTGGGAAGAAAAGCTTAAAAAAAACAAACGAGTCAGAATGGATCCAAGCTTTCCCAGAACATGGGACTCTTTCTCTAGACCCAGATTTTCAGTTTCTAGCACAAACTTCTAATAGTATCATTATAACACTTGGAAGACATCAGATCTCCAGGAGTCCGATAAGGACCGTTAGAACAAACTTAATAAAGTTGATCAATAAAGCTCTCAGAAAACAGGAGTGGATCGCAAACAAAGTAATTATTTGCCTGTTTTTCTCTCTAGTTTTGCTTCTTTCTCCTTGTGTTTGAAGACGATGGGAGGCTCGGGTTCAAAAAGTAACCCAACTTCAGGTAACTTCCTCTTGCTCTGTTGTGAGCTGTGCTGGGAGGGCCGTATCAAAGCTGGTGTTAATATATGGCTACACTTGAATTGTGCAACTCTTCAAGGCTGCCATGTGGCAAAAACGCTGTGGCTCTGTGTTTCTCTTAGCATAGAATATCCCAGCTCTGCTTTCAGTTGCAAGTGTTTAATCCTTGTCACTTCATACAGAGAATGTAAATACATTTGAAGTCCATTGTCATGCCACTCTATATAAACAGCTTTCAAGTGGGGCACAGAGCTTGTGGCAGGATCAAATACAATGCTGGAGAAACGTAACTGGGCTTACAGAAACAGATGATGCATTTTGACCCTCTTTGCATCTGCTTCTAGCACGACCATGGCTTCTGCCCAGCACGACGACTAGCACACCTACTCCAGCCAGCATGACGACTAGCACACCTGCTGCAGTCCCAACAATAGGAGCTAAATGCTGTTCTGATGAGTAAACACAACCTGTTTTTCTTCTGGGTTTTTTTCCAACGTGTTTTCTTCTGTTCTGCCTAGATGTAATTCTGCTGAAGTCCATAGAATTAAATCAAGTCCGAGTCTCTGCTTTTCTAGCTCAAGTCTTTTCCTACTGCTGAGAATTAAGTAGCTTATCCTGTTTTCTCTTGCTTGTTCTCCATATAACTATACCAGTTTGTATTGCAGCTTGAATAGGCAACGGTAAAGCTGTCAATGCTGATAGGAGCATCTGAATGTCACCCTTCCCATCTCATATCATCCTACAAATTTTTATGAGATTCTTAATACTTCACAAGATGAACATCTTGGTCAGCCACCCGTGTGAATGTGGTGCCCAGCATTTAATCGAAAGCTGCATTTTTTACAAATTGCCAGCAGGGGCAGAAATTTTTACAAATTCCCAGAGTGGGGAATTCACATTTTTCAGCAACAGTACCAGACAGTGGCTCATAAATTTGGAAGTTGGTATCTGACACCAAAGAATAGAAGAATTCTGGCACTTCTGTAGCTGCATGTATCCAATCCCAAAGGTTTTAAATGATTCAAATGAAGAGTTTTGAAGTGATGTTGCTGTGTCAGTCCAGTTGTGAGGGGCAAGAGTTCATGCAGGTGATCTCTGTTACTGGACCAACTGCAGCTTTGAGCTGGACACATGCAAGCTTTTTTGGCATCATGGTACTCTTCTTCAGGTACTTTGCAGAAGGATACTGTGATACTCAAAAGATAGTCTGTCTATCCCAACCCTGTGGTTGGTCCAACAAAAGATAGCATTTGCAGGAATGGTTGCCTCTCAAACGATGTGTTGTTGATTTTAATAATTGAATGATGTCTAAATTTATTCCAAAGCCTTGAGTTGTTAAGAGAGGTCTGAGCAGTACTACTGCCATGACAGCGTGGAGAATCATAGAATCAGTGAGTTGGGAGGGCCCTAGACAGATCATCGAGTCTGACCCCCCCCCCCCCC